GGTTAGTAATGGAAACTCTCAAGATAAAGGAGGTGTTTTCTCTCTTAAAAATTTCACAAAAATTTTAACTTAGTTGTGGGAAATATTCTCCTTATTTATAAGTCTGGAATAAGAACAGCCTTAGTAAATAAGAAAAATCATATTTGCGAACAATCGCTCGATCGGTTAGAGGGCAGTCAGGGCAGTTGACAGTAGAATGAAAATTACTTCTCAAACCTGTCCAGGAGCATACACCACTCGAGCTCTGTCTACCTCTCCATGATCTTTTCCCATCTTATTCCCTAAATCATAACGAGTCTATTTTAACGAAGGTTGGCGAGCATAAATCAGTCCTTACTTGTTTTTAAAGCAAAAAATTTGATCTCTTGAGCATTAAAGGATGTTGCTCAAGAGGAGTCCATTAATGGTTTAGAGTTTTTTTTTTTTCAAAACATCTAGAAGTTATACTTGGATTGCTTTTAATTTTATTTTTTCATCCTAATTATCATAAGTTAAAAGTAACTAAGGATTCATCTTAGGTGTCTATATCATTACATTTGTCCTAAGCATGAAGATGCGTATAGAGTTTGAATGATGTTGTTTTGACGCTTGGTCTCCTCTCTTCAATGACACTTTCAGATCTTCAATTTGATATCATCGTGACCATATAAAAGATTAAGGTTTATAATGGACTTTACGAAATTAACTAATTAAAAAATGTGATTTAACATATTTCTTGAATAAGTATTTAATAAAGGAATTTTATAAGAATAGCAGTTTCACTAAATATTTGCATATTCACAAGAAAAATGGTCCAAAAATAACATAAGAAATATTGTGTTGGGATTGTCAGTAAAAAAAAGGTTTGTGTTACAATTATTAATAATTCCTCAAATACTAGCAATGTATATATGATGAAGGAAGGAGAAAACGACAGATACATGGGCAAAACATATATTGTGCACGTCTTTCCAGTTGTGTTTTGCAATGGTTAGTACTAGCAGTGCATCAAAGATGCAGCTATCGATTCTTCCGAAATGATGAGTATTTTGTTTGTAAGAGTTTTTTTTTTTTTTGCCTTCTATTTTTGATTTATTTAGGTGGTAAAACCTGTTGTAAGTTGTAACTCATCAAAAAATACAAATCATTTTTTTTTTCCCAGTGTTTAGGATAAATCATAAGTTGTCTGCTTAGATTTACAGTGGTGGCCTCTTGGAAATCTTTATCCCTCCTGTTCAACCAACCAAGGTCTCTTTCTTTGAATAACATACTTTTTCTGATGCTTTTCCGCTGTTTCCTTATGCTTTTCTAGCTTCAGATGAGATTGCTTATGCATCTAGTTGATATAAATTCAATGGACTATTTGGGGGTCTACCCTCAACTGCTTCAAACTGAATCATCAATCATGTCAATACTCATTTGATTTGACCAATCATAGCTTGCGGTGAGAATTTAGATTAATCGAGATCACTTTAGTTTGTTCATCCGTATATGGATGTCAAGCGTTATAAATAAATTTAAGTTTTATGTCCCTTTTTCTCCAAAATGTTTACCAAAAAATGATCTATAACCTTCAAATCACGATTAAAAAGTAATGATATTAGGAATTTCATGTATCTTGACAACATCGTGGACTTGCATCCAACCTCTTCTTGCGAGGTATGAAACGTGTCATCGTTAAAAATTTATGCGACGCAAAGAATATTGAAAAAAATTAAAGCTTTTGAAAAATAAAAGGAAAGAATGATTGAGAGTCACTGTAATCTTCTTTGGACTTTTATTATGTGACTAGATGTTGCTTCTATAACCAGTACGTGTGGACCCACAGTGCTCATTACTGTAGTAACAAATATGACAGAATTGAGAATTGTGTCATGACTTGTGGTCCATGGCTCACTAGGTTTTAAAAATTACAAATCATAATAGGTTATTTTATTTTTAACTACCCCTTAAAGTTATGATATATTCATTCTGACCCCGACTTTTGGGTACGTGGGTTGGTTGCATCATTTAATATTCGTTTGCCCAGTTTTACCTTTAAATTTTTAACTCGTGTCATGTTGATCCAATCGCCAATCGCAATCTAAATTAACTAATGCAAGTGGCCATGTGTCTCACTAACACATGAGCAAGCCACTCCATTATTGGTACTGAGGCCAAATAAAAGGTTCCTTTTTTTATATTGTCAAGAAATACTAGCTATATCTGCAATAAGAAGATTCACGATTGTGGGATGAGGGGTTGTTTCCATCCTTAAACCAAAGAAATGTAGCAAGTCACTTAAAAGGGCCATTTTGTTCTGTCAAATTATAAATTTACTTCAATTTTGATTCTAATCTTGTAATATGTAGTTCTTCAAAATTTCAAGAATGCAAGCACAAAAAAAAAAAAAAAAAGAATTTCCAAGAGTTTAAACTAGCTTTTTCTATTGGACTAAGATTATACTAGTTTGAAACTTGAAGGATTAAAATTAAAAAAAAATTAAAAAAAAAAGATCTACGTGACACAAAATTCGTTGAGAATAGAAAATATTCATTGTCGCGGTTACATCATTTCATTTCAGCATTGACACATAGTATAACCATTTAATAAAAACTCAACAAAATGAGCAAAGTAGCCTTCACTCTTTCAAAAAACTTTCCTTTCATTTAAGATAGTAATCCTCCTATACAAAAAAGGGGATTCACACATCCACTTGATTATTTATTATAGAACGGTTACAGTAAATATTTACTTGGTTGGGAGGCATTATCTTTATTTTGCCAATGATTTAAATAGTAACTTGAAATGACGACAATGCCATTGTAATTTACATTCTGATTTAAAAAAAAATTTGGAGTAGTTCTTATTATTTTTGGAGGTTAAGTTATATTTAAAAAATTATAATTGATCACAAAAATATAACTCTTAAAGGTCAAATAACATATTTCAAAGGTTATTTTACATATTCTTAATTAATTATGACATTTCTGACTAATTAAAAAGAATTTAATTAATTATAATTTGACCCTAAAAATTAAAATTAACCCTCATAAACAATTTTTTTTTTTTTTTGATAAAATGTCAAAAGTTATGTTTTCGTCGCTGTAATCTTATCCTCCCGCCATTCAAGGACCAGTCCCATGTAATTATCTCGGAACTAACCCGAAATATAAATACAGTGGAAGGAGTCTACTGGACCCCACTCACGGGCTTCTCTCATAAAAACGGAGAACGAAAAGAAAGCCTATGTAATTTGAGAATTTAATAATTGTGATAATTTGTTTTTTTTTGAAAGCAATAATTGTGATAATTATATTATTAGTGGATTTCAGTATTGAATGTACTCTATTTTACTATTTATTTAAAGGTTATAATGTATTAAAGTTTTTAAATTATGTCTCAATAATATTAATACAAAAATAAAAATGTCGTCAACTAGGCGTGTTCGATTGATATTTTTTTGAGTACATAATGTTGGTCATAAGAGCATCTGTAACCTTGATTCATATTTAAATTTTAATAAAAAAAAAATTAAAAATTTGTTTCAACTTTTAACTCAAACTTATACCAAAATCAATGGAGCCTCATTTTTTTTACTCAAATTAAGAAAGATTTAAATGTTTACTCAAATATTTAATTATGAGAATTTATTATTTTTCAAAGATCAAATATTCATCTTTACTTCTTTTAAATTTGGATTTGCCCACTTTTAAATTTAAATTTTTTTTTCTTTAAATTTGAGTTTGTCCAATAGAGTCATTTGTATCAAATCAAACTCTTTATTTTTTATTAAAAATTTGAGTTAAGGTTAGAGATGTTCTAAGCTCAGCCTTAATACAATCCATAGTAAAATTACAAAATGCGTAATCGGTCAAGGGACATCTATCAAATTTTATTTTCTCAAAAATCATTGAAAAATTTAACTAGAGACTAGTTTTGATAGACAACTAGTTCACCTTATTTTTTTATAAAATTATCAATTATTAATATACTAGTTTATTACCTGTGCCTGAAATTACATAGTAATAAAAAATAAAAAATATATTTTCAGTTATATTCAAAATCAAATCACAAATATAAAAGAGAGATAAATGAATTTAAACATCAATTATAGTGGGGTGAGAAGTGGTAGGCAACAGTGGTGGTGGTGGTAGAAAACGGTAATAGTTATAGTGGGTGGCAATGTCCGTGGTTGGTGGCGACAAAGGCGGTGGTGGAGACGGCAATGGTGGTGGGGGTGGCGATAGTGGTGGCGGTGGGGTGGCGATGGTAACAACGACGGTAATGGTGGTGATGATGGCAGTGGTGGTGGCGACGGTGGTAGAAGACTAATGGTGGTAGAGGTGGTAGTGGTAGAGGTAGTGGTGAGGCGGTTTCAAATACTTTTTTTTTTTAAATTACTTTTGAAAAATAATTCTTAGAACTATTTTTAAAAAGTCACTTTAAACACACCCTTAAAAGTTTATTTTGTTATTAAATTTAGGGTGTTAATATTAGTTATTAGATTAACTTTAAAATAAAATTTAAAACGATCTCAACCGCCAATAATAAAAGTTATTTTATTTATCTTTTGAAATTTAAATTATAAGCTACTTTATTATATAGATGTAAATCTAAATTTTATAAAATTGTGTCTTAAATAATCAATCAAAAACATTTATTCCTATTCGAGTTAATTGACTTCAAATTATGTCGAATTGGATCAAAATTTGGATTTAACCATAAATTAATGTTAGTTAATATTAAATGTTAATATTTAATGGAATTTATAATTAATTTAAAAATTATAAATTAAGTATAATTAATATTATTGATTAATCATAACCCACGAAGAGTTCCAGGTGGCAGTTTAAATCTGAGTGCCGAAATTTAAGCGGTGGAACAGAAGAGTGTCCAAAATTTGAGTGAGAGAGAGAAAAAGGAAAGCCCACAGGAAGAAGCCAACTCATCGTAAAAAAAGTATACCAGACCTACCTACCAAATCAACCTCCTATCTGTTAAACCATTCGTCATTTTCCGCCAACTTGGTCAAATGTCCTCTCTCCTCTCCTCTTCCCGACCCTCCCCACCTCTCTTAAAAGCATCCAGTTTATTGGCCACTCTGCCTCATAGTGGACGTCCTTTCTCTCTCTTCCCCACTTTCTATCTCCTCCTATCTTCCCCCACCCCCCTCCCCATACCATATATATTTTCTCTCTCACCTCCTCTTTCAATCAAACCTCTGTCCTTCCTGCTTTTTATCTCCACCAAGAAAACAGAACAGACAGATACTTATCCATCTCTCTGCTTCTCTCTCTCTCTCTCTCTCTCTCTCATAACCCATATATCAGAGACTATCTATCATGGGACGTTCACCTTGCTGTGAAAAAGCCCATACCAACAAGGGTGCGTGGACCAAAGAAGAAGACCAACGCCTCATCAACTACATCCGTGCTCATGGCGAAGGTTGCTGGCGTTCCCTCCCCAAATCCGCTGGTAAACCCCCTCCCCCCTTTTCTCTCTGTTACACGCCCATATGAATTTGTGGCTCTGAATTGTATTCTTTTTTTCATGTATTAGGATTGCTTAGATGTGGAAAGAGTTGCAGGCTACGGTGGATAAACTACCTCAGGCCTGACCTCAAGAGAGGAAATTTCACAGAAGAAGAAGATGAGATCATTATCAAACTCCACAGTTTGCTCGGAAACAAGTACACCCTTTTATCTTTTCTTCTGGAACCTTTAAATTTTCATTCTTTCTGCCTCTGTTTGGCACCTGAGAAAATGTCTGAGAAGAAAATAGAAAGTAAAACTTCCATTAGGACTTTCCCTATTGTGGGACCACGTTAAAAAATATATGTTTGTCCCCCAAGACAGTAAGGGTGAGGTTGAGATAAATATTTGACTTTGCTTGATGGGGACAAATTCAAGAATTAGGTTTGGAGCTGCAAATTATTTGGAGAAGTCCTAGCCTAGGTGTGAGTGGGGAAAAAAGCTTGAAGGGAACAAATTGTGTAGAATTGTAAAAGCCGTAATGTAATTTTAATGTTTTTTTTTTTCAAACCTTAAAAGAGAGAAATTTAAGATTGATTGACGGAGGAAACTTTGTTATGTACTAATTAAGTTGAATAATCAATCTTTCTAATATCCCCTCAAGAAAGGTGAGCTTGACTTTGAGAAAGAAGGTGCAGGGAGGGTGCCAAACCCTCTGTTTTTGTTCACTGATTCCTCTTCCACAAACCCAAACCGGCACTGGCACTTTTAAGTTTTTCATTTCTAATTTGTGTTCTGTACTAAATTTTGTGTTTTTACTTAATTATTCACAGATGGTCCTTGATAGCTGGAAGATTGCCTGGAAGAACAGACAATGAGATCAAGAACTATTGGAACACCCACATCAAGCGCAAGCTCATTAGCCGTGGACTCGACCCTCACACTCACAGGCCACTCAACTCCACCACCAAAGCCACCACCACCACTGCCATCACCAATATTTCCTTGGACTTCAAGAATGCTTCATTTTCAACTTTGCCCATAAAAGAATCCACTTTGGTGGACCAAAATAACCAATTCAAGCTCCTCACAGACTCAGCTGAAGATGGTAATTGTAGCAGTGGCACAACCGAAGAAACCAAACCTCAACACATTCATGAACAGCAAAACAACACCCAAGTTCTTGACCTTGAGCTCTCAATAGGACTTCCATTGCAGTCCAAAACTTGGGAAACATCTGCAAATTCAGCCGAGTCAAAGCTGGAAACAAAGGTTCCCTACAAGTTCTTTGCGGTGACACCACCGCCAACTACAGCGGTGGCCACCACGGCGGAGGCAGCGGTGGTGGCTCCGGCACTGTGTTTGTGTTGGCAGTTTGGGTCTCAGAGCAGTCAGTTGTGTAGTAATTGCCGAAACACAAAGGGGTTTTACAGATTGTGCTGACCATTGGGATGCATAAGGCCATAAATTTTAGATCTGGATATTAATGCTTTCTACTTCCCAGCTTCTTCGCCTACCCAATGTAATTATTGTATCTTTAGAACTATAGCAGCTCTATGGAATAGCAACATTTAATAGCAAGACAAATATTTTTTTGGATCAACTAATTTGTCCGAAGAAAAATTCTATATAACTCAAATGAAACTCAAAGTTAAAACTCAAATGTATATTATTCTTTGAATGAGTGTGAGATGAGTGGATTCCACTGAAAAATTACTAGGATCCACTCATCCAAAAGTTGATATGCTTTTTAAGTTATAATTTTTTGGGTTTTATAGAATTGCTTGTGTGTGTGTGTGACCATGAATTTGTTCATTTTATATAATGAATTTTTTTCTTCTTTTTTCATTCTCTTTTAAAAACAATAGACCCGGGGTGGCTCCATTCTAATGGTTGGCTATTTATCATGTATCAATACGAACAAACTTACATGTTAGCACTCTTTTATTTAATTCAAGTAATCTATCATTAAGGAAAATCGAGAAAGAGATTCAAATCTTATATAGGTTGGTAACCTACATTTTTCACTTTTCATTTCTATTTTCTCCTTTTCTTTAAAGTTGAAAAAAAAAGGATATGGATACCATTATAGCAATTTAAAATCTAATGAGGGGAGTTGAAATCCTTGTCAAATTGAACCATTACTGTCCTACTCTTGTGTGCCATGTTGTTTTAGGGTGGGATAAGAGCAAAAAAATTGGTAGGTCACATGGCCAATGTTGGGTCTCAGTAGTCATGGTCGGTGTAGATATGCACTAAAACAATAAACTAATGATAAAATAGTCAATTAGATTTGCAAGTAACACATTGTTATATATGATCACTGTTTTGAGGTTTTGGATCCCTTCAAATAAATCTCTCCAATTTCAGTTAGAAAATTGAGAGAAATCGTATTAGAGAAGAGCTGAATTTGCTTTTTTTTTAGGTACTTCAGCGGGACGTTAGAGGGAGAACTTATGACAATTGAGAGTTTATATACACTTAGGATTACGGACAATCTTCAGTTAAAGAATATTATTTTCCATAATTAGAAATAAAAAATGTATAAAACCTTTCTTTCAATTCAATTTGAAGTTGCGTGTTGGCATTCTTAGGTAGTATCCTATCACGTTTAATCATGTGAAACTTGGGGTTAACTGTGTCGTTAAAGCCATTGACTCATAGATATAGATAAGAAACCTCTTTTGAGGAAAATTCCGTATTGAAAGCGCACAAGAAATATCCATTTTTGGTCCCCACAAGTTGCCATCAAATTAATCACGAGGTGACTCACGAGTCACTGGGATAACTTGACTCGGTCAATCTCCAAGCAGTGTTCAATTTCTTCTGTTTTTTTTTTTTGATGAGCAATGGCTAGTTATCTTGTCACGAGAGAGGAGGGACTGTGACAAATCTAAGAATTAGATGTATTGGACAAACGCTATGAATAATTTTTTTTTTTATTTTTTATAACAAGGTGTTTAAACTTGCGTCGATTACTCCCTCAAACTCTGGGATTAGCAACCGTAATTCGAACTAGTTTAAAGATATATGTCCTCTGAGAAACAAGGACCCTTTGGAGATATGTAAAGTATCAAACTAGAGACCTAATAGATGTAGATTTATATAGATAGTGATTCACGAAGATCGTATTCGATTGTAATTTAATATTGTTGCATACACACATATACAGAAATGCTAATAAAAATTGAATGATTATTTAACTATATTGTGTTGGAATTGGTATGCAATTTATTAAAATTCAGATCTGATTTAATTATTTGGATCAATAACTTTTTATTTTTTGAAAGGATTTAGATACAAAGTGTAAGAATAAAGTTCGTTGAATAATCAAATTGAAGTCAAATCAAGTTTTCAAATCGAATTCGTTAAAATTTGATCGTCGAACTATTCACTATTTGTTTATGGGCTCAATGATTATTGACGAGAATCATCCGATCATTCTCTTCAACATAATGGTTGCCCCCACTGCGAACAAGTCCTATCCCCGCCCCTCTTCAAAGCAAACTTTTTTATTTCTAAATTCTAACATGAGAAGCCTTGAAATGAGTTGGACTGACCAAAAATAATCAGACATTAAAGGTTGAAATTTGAAATAATTAATTTTTGTATGGAATCTAATCCTAGTGCTTAGGTTCCCTTAAAGAATGCCGGATCTTCCTCCACCGAAAAATACCAACTCCAGTAAAGAAATGTACTATAGTTGTGCGAGATTGAAAGTTTTAGAATTGAGTCCCAACATGGGTTTGATTTATTTAGTAAATCTTTTAAGACAGAATGCATGGAATTTAAGCATCTCTCTGATAGGTGTTTGTGTGTACATGTGTTGCTTATATATTCATATATATATAGAGAGAGAGAGAGAGAGAGAGAGAGAGAGAGAGAGAGAGAGAGAGAAAAAAGGAAGATAGAACATGTGACATGTTTGGGGGTAGGCAACCCAATCTGTGATTAAGTTGATAGAAAAGGAGAGAATTGAACGAAAAAAAGAAAGAAAGAAAGAAAAACAATCGATACGGTTGGTTAGTTAAAGAGTGGGTGGTGGAGGTGGAAAGTCAAGGGAAGGGGGGGGGGGGGGGGGTCCATGTGCAAATACAGTAAGGTATGGGATTCCTATGTTAATGGGAATATATAAGGGATATTAGGCCAGCCAAACATCACTCCTTTTCTAAGAAAAGTCTAAATGACCTTCATCAACAACTCCTGCTACCTAGCTTGCTTTATCTTACAGTATTTCTTAGAATAAAGACACTCTTCCCCTCTCTCTCTCTCTCTCTCTCTCTCTCTATATATATATATATAGATGGTGAAACTTAGCACAATGATAAAATTGCTCAATTAAGACCTAGTTGTCAAGAGTTTAAGTTGAAGAAATAATCTTTCCATATGTGAATGATAGACTACATATATCTAACATTTCTTAAATCGATCTTGTAACGACAAAATCTCGTACACTTAGTTGTCTTTTACATCGATGGAGAGAGATAAGTAGACATTTCATGTTCATGCATGATTAGATGCTTAGAGGGGAAAGGTATAATTTAGTTAAGACAAAAATGTGGCCACATGCTCTCACCTAATCGTTTTCTCTGGATGTCCTTCTCAGAACTGTAGATTAATAGATAAGTATCTCCCCTTCGCACTTGCCAATATGGTCATGCTTGTCTATATGACACCTTTTCATGAACTGCCAATCCACATGCAATATGAATGCTTTTTGTTTAATAACCCTTAACTAGTCTGATAATGTGTTTGTTTGAGTTGTGGTTATATATTCAAAGTTGTTAAAATGTGTATCATAAAGCGTATTACTTTTTTAAAAATAGTGTATCACATATCATAACGTATCTTTTATTGTAAAATACGTGTAATTTTACAAAAGACTAAGGATAACCCGTACCTGAGTGCACGATACAATGTGAATGATTTTAAGAAAAATGTTGGTAGCCATTAAAGTTTATTTGAGACTATTGGATAGGCTTAATAAAACATGCCCTATTTTATATTATAAATTATAGATTTTAAAAAATACATATACCTGTGGCAAAATATCATAATAACATTTTATTTCACCACAAATTTTTCATATAAAATAATTTAAAGAAACTACATGGACCAAAACAAAAAAATTAACAATCTCAATCTTGAAATTTCTAATATTATTCATCAATATCAAAATTTAAAGGGTTCTATTTCTAAAATCTAAAGTAGCCAAAGAAAAACACTTGTGAAAATTAAACTATTCGCTTTTGTGATGAAACGAATAAAAAAGATGATTTTTATTTTTTAAAACTGTTGATGGTGAAACAATGTCGTTTCATTACTCAATATTTGATAAAATTACTTTCAAATGAAAATGAGTATTTTTTTGGTTAAAATTCAAAAAAAAAAAATTGTAATATGTTTAGCTCGTTATCGAACAACTCGTACGTCTCATTTTGTATCAAGTGTATCATTTTCTTGATGTATCAAAACATATCGTATGCATCGTATTTTGTATCATACAATACTAATAACTATGATGCTTATTATATGAACTCAAGATACGGTTAATTACATATAAATTACATATGCCAGATAAATGTGAACATTATTGTATAATCCGAATAAGAGATCTCAAGGTAGTAACTCTTCAATCTGTCCTATCCAAAGTATTCTAAATGTGTTCTATAGTTTTTTTTTTTTTTCCTTTTTGTCAGGGGAAGACCTGCTATAAGTATGCCAACTTTTGTTTTTGAATGACAAAATGTTATATGACCTGAACTGGTAGGATACTTACCAACTAAATCATGGTGTGAAAATCTTCTTTAGTTTTCCACCTGTTAAATGTAGAGTCTTGAAAGTGGGTGCATAGCGTTTTTTGCTGTCGATCTTGGTGGTGAAACACACTACTCGGATGACATGATCGGATATGTCTTTAGTTTTTAAATGGCAGAGTCGTGTTGAATTTGTATCGTATTAAAGTTTTGTGACACTAAAAATAATAAATTCATATCCAACTTATTATAAATAATCGTGTATAATTAGATTCGAGTTACGTTAAGTTTGTATCGTATATAAGCTTCATATATATATAAATAAAATTTAGTGGGTTTATATCATGCTTAGGTGGATTTAGATTGATCTATTTATTTGAAAAAGTCTGACAAAACCATCCATTTATAACCTAAAGCCACTAAAGCTAAACTTGAACCTGCTAATTAATGTCTTTTTCAACAAGCAGATAATATCAAAGGTCTTCCACATAGAAACAAAAAAGGAAAGAAATAGTATAGTTTAAATTATTCATCTAAATAAAGTCATGAATCATTTTAATTATGTTGTCACTGTCCATATAAACATCCTTCTATGTCATTCAGTTTATCTCCCTGGGCAGCTGGGCTGAAGACAGTTCTCACAACCATCACCTCCATGTTTTACTAAAAGAACGAATGAGACTTATTTTTTTAGTATGATATCGAAAACTTTTGCGACTTATCAACTTGGCTCGCCACAACAAGATTTGAGCTCGAGAGGTCCAAAGTCCATTGATCACTTCCACGGTTCATGTTTTACATCAGACCTTTTTCACTATAAATTTTTGGTCCAGAGGTGACTGATAGCACAAAAAGATGATCCTTTACTTACCCATAAATACCCACCAACCCAGGTAAAAATTGGAGTCAATCTCATATAATTACTAGAAGACTTTTTCTACTGGGAAAGTGACATATAGATCACTACTAATTTAATAGCTGATGCAAACTCTCTAGGGTTACAACTGTCCAGAAAATTCCAGTGATAGAAAAAGTTTAGTTGTTATATACTTTTATTTTACTTTATTATATTCACCATCAATAATTTAAAGTAACTTAAACCAAAATATATAATTGAAAATCTATTTGTAGTATCATATTGTCCAACGCTCCAAGCACTCTATACAGATCCAATCGTCCAAATCTGTCCATGCTGATAAGAGAGATGTCATGGAACGTTATAGCCTTGTAGGAGAGAGAAAAAGAGAGACAGAAAGACAAAGAAAGACGGTGGGTGGTGAGTAGTGGGTGGTGGTTGGTGGTTGGTAGCTCAGTGACGTTAGAGTTGCAACTACCTGTGTCTCTTCCCATCAATTCCTGGGGTCTACTCTGGTCGTTTAATAGTGTCTATTTGTCACTATGCCATTCTCCTTTCAAATATTTAAATTTCAAGCAGGGTACAAACAAGTAAGATTGATAAATATAATATTTATGAATATATATGATCGATATATACATTATATATATCTATAATATATATCAGAAAAGAAGATGATAGGGACCTTTTCTCTAGAAGACCAATCACTGATCCATCAATCTAGCTAGCTTTGATGATTAGAAATTTTGAAGCCTTATATCAATTTCTATCAACACAAAAATATAGAAAATGTCATCCAAGTATATAAATATATTTATTTTGCAGGTAAATTACACAAATAATCTCTGAAATTTGTCACTTATTGCACTTTCGTCTTTAACATTATAATTTCGTCAATTTGGTTCTCAAAGTTTAAACATTTAGTCAATTTGGTCATTAACACTAATCGCTATCACAAAAATAGTCGAAAAACACCATATGTCACTCACGTCATATTTTCAAGGGTATTTCTGATATTTTTTGATAATCTATACATCCAATCAACATTATTCTTTATCTAAACAATATTAGACATACACTCAAACATACACCTTTTTCTTCCTCCTTTTATTTTATTTTTCTTTTTCATCTATCTTGTTGTGCTCACTCTTTTCAGACCGAACATATTCCCCTCCCCCCTATCACATGCGTTGACACTGGCCGAATTTTTGAGCTTTGAATTGAATTGAAGTCATGAGTTAAGTCTGACTTGCTCCCATGAATCAAGCTTAGGCCTGGTCTGAATTTGAGTTCGTCATATTTCATAGATTAAAGAGTTTATATGGGTCATTTTCATGTCAAAAAGTATAAAAACTCAAAATATAGGAAGAAAAACATGATTTTGATGGATTTCACGTACAACTCATACTCTTGTTATGAACATGGGTAATTAGATGGGTTTGGGTTTTGCGCAAGTAATTCAACAAGTCACGGGCAGAGGTGGAGCTAGAGATTTTTTAATGTTTCAATAATTTATTGTCAACATTATAGATTTTTTTATAAAATTAATAAAACTAATTCAATTTTTGTCAAATTAATTAGATGTAAAAAAATATTAAATTAATTCATCAAATAATAAATATTTTATGCTTCACTTTATCACATAATTACTCAAGGGTACTAGAGAGAGTTCATCAATTCTTTGACCCTAAATTTGTAGAGTTTTCATAAATTAACCCCTTACCCTCTTACACTATGACCCTGATTTCAAGTCACACATCAACTATCATTATCAATGCATTACATTATTACGAAGGAGAGGATACAAGAAACGATTATGACATATTACTGTGCATGAATAGCAGTGAATAGTCATTGTATTACATAGGATACTTGAAAGCTAAAACTTTAAGATCGACCGTATGCCTATGTAAAGCACTCCTCATGTCGAATGAAAAGTGCAAAAAATTGAAAGGAGTAATATCATTCTTCAAATTTCTCTCTCATTTGGTTTTTGTGTTATTTATTTTATGTTTAGTTAATTAAATAATTTCACTACATGTTGGAATGATGAGGAATGAAATTTTTGGTCTTAAAATTTGATCAGCGTAACATTACTGTTTTTCAATATATTACTCCCTACCCCTCAACGGCTATCCATCGGGCACGTATAATCTATAGTATGTTTTTGAGACTTCCCAACAATGTTCCCCAGTTACGAATCCTTAGGCTGGGGTCTAGTTGTTTGAACAGTGGCAGCGACCAACTGCAAATCAGGTGAAGATTAATTGCAATGGGGCTTTCATCCCTCACTTAAAGAGGACAGCAGTTGGGGTAATTTTAAGGATGGTAATGGTAAGCTGATTGGAGGCACTGCTAGTCATGTCCCTTCGGTGTCCAGCATTTACTCAGAAGCAGCGACATTAGAGAAGCTTGCTTGATGGGTCAGCAGTTTCTAAACCACCAAGTCCTCATTGAGAGTGATTGCAAGGTGTTCATTTCTCTGTGCTGGGGAGAAGATCTCTGTGCTGGGGAGAAGACGTTCCCCGTTGGAAATTATGACTTTCGTGGAGGACATTAAATCCATAGTTCTTAGCCAAAATCTAATCATCCTCTTTCAGCCTCGGTCTACAAATGTTGCTGCTCATTAGGGGGGCTAAGGCATGCTGTTCTTTGAACTTACCAAGAGATTGGGTCTCATGTTGTCCAACTGAGCTTTCTTCTATATTATTATCTGACTGTAATTATAATATCCAAAAGTAAGACCATTTGCAGCAGTGACGTATTCCACGCAGATGTGTTGGGTTTGTTGTTGTGGGAGTTGGGGGTGGGGGGTGGTTGAAACGTAACTCTGATAGTTGCTGCAGCACAATTATTGTTGAAGACCACCCTGATGCTGGTCAAAATATATAAAATATACTCCATTAACAGTAAAGTCTATCTAATAATCATCATCCTTTTGGCTTTAAATCTCTAGTGAATAACTATTGAAAGATGTTAAAATGCCAAATTAAGCCAAATGTACTGGAGAATTAAGTCATGCACATTATAAAAAAGAGGGCTACAGTAGAGGTAATGATGGAAGCAGAAAGTGTTGCTTCTTTCCTTCTGTTTTTTTTTTCTTGGGAGAGCGAAAATCCAACTTCAAAATTTGTTTTTGACAAATTTGGAGACCGGTTTTTAGGCGTAAAACCCGGTAAATTTAATTTTTTTATAAAAAAGGTAAAACGGTAATTTTTTGCTATAGTACGGGTTAAAAATCTAAATTTTTCTAGATCTCAGATGACAAAACGGGCTTTACCGTTGAATTCGTCTCGCGAAATCTAATTACCCTGTTAAATTTTATAGAATTCTGAGATACTCAAATTTTTTACATTTTACGAGGCGATCGAGTCTCAGGTGACCGCAAAAACGAAATTTTTAACAAAATTTCGAAATTTTGAAAATAATTTCAAGAAAAATCAAAATAAAAATATTTTGAACTTAAACCGGGATGAAATTTAATCATTTCAGGACAAAAACGGACCCAAGAAAAAAGAGGTCGTGTGGCGCATTGTGGGTCAAATATTCTAAGGGTATAAATAAGGGGGAAATCAGATTTTTCTCCCATTATTTAGTCGGTTTAACGTGAGAAAAGAAGAGAGGAAAAAATAGAAGTTCTCCACCTTCTTTCTACGATCTTGGAAGCTACGGAGCTCCAATCCACACGGGTCAAGAATCAAAGTTGCTCCTCTCGTTGAGGGCCACACGTCTATGCCATAAACAACATGTTTCACCAAAGATTCTAAGGACGGAATTTTGAAAAATCAAGATTTTGGACTTGGAAGATATTCTTAAAGGTTTTACTGTCGGTTCACGCTTCAAGAGATAGAGTTCCTTTCTATTTGGGTTTATTTTACAAGTTAGGGTGTTATATGTAATGGGTAGGTTAATAGAGATATATATCACTTGTCTATGGATATGGAATTGGTGAATTAGGTATAGAAAAAGCTTAACAAATGAATTCCTAGCTTGGAATTGATATTTGTGGTGACCGCGTGTGTAATTCCATGAAATTTGGTGTCTTGGGGTTATGTGAATTTTCCCTAAAGTGATTCATAAGAATTTGTATTATGTGGGAATGTTATGTGTTTAATTTATGTTTTGAAAATTAAGTGTGTTATTAGCATATATAAAATAACATGCTTATGAATTATGGTTGGATAAGAACATGATATATGCTCTTTTTTTATATATTAACATTGAGATAAAACTTGGCTATTATATGCTTATGGCATGAGTGACTATGAAATATGAAAAATATATGTTAAAGTTGTTCATATGACATTCATTATATGTGGGCAATGACATTGAAATGACAATGGTGCATTACATTGTATGTGCACGGAGACATCTTATTTTATGGGTGTGGGTATATGGTTGGTATCAAACACCACGTAGGTGGATGATGGGTGGGCTCAGAAAAGTTGGATTGAATATTCGACTGAATCGCACGGTTGCATGAAAAAGAATTGGGTCGGGGTTTGCAAGAAGGACTAGACTATCCCTCGGGTAAGAGACCTGGTATTTCGGATACGCACTTCCGTTGGTATAAGAGCTCATAAAGTGTGTCGGTGTACGCGAAATTGTTGGTGAAAATCCATGAATTCCGTGTCGGTTGGATGATTGTTGATGTAAATTCATAAATACCCCACCCAAGAAAGACTCGGAGATTTTAAGTAGTCATTGTGTGTGTAACACACATGGCGGAGGTTTGGAAAGTCCGGTGTTGATACTCACTGTATAGCATGGGTGAAGGTAAACGAGTGGAGCTAGAAAGGCTCGGTTTATACACATTGGCATTGCATGTGCTGTGGAGTCGGGAATGACTAGGGTAAATTGCATAAATGGACATCATTTCATTTATGGCATGACATGTAGATTCTAACTTTGACTTGCTTAAATCTTGGTTTGAATGATTGTTATTGAAAAACATTGCATATTCACTTAGGTTAGGGAGTAGCCCCTATAGGAAATACTCTACTGGGCGTAGCTCACCCTATACGGAAAACATTTCAGGTGTGGAGTTCGTACAAGTGGAGGACTCACATTCGGGGCCTCAATGATGAAGAAAAATCGATTTGTGGCTTTTGAAAACAAGTTTTTGTAAAATTTTCGTAAAATTCTATTTTGAGCATGTAATTGTATAAATGGGCTTGTAATCATATGAAATTAATTATAATAGAACTGGTATGTATCAAGTCTTATTTGGAAAACAATACTTTATATGTTTGGGATGTTTGTGGAAAGGTTTGGAATGAATTGGAAATGAAAAATAGGTGAAACAAAAAATTCTAGGTAAAACCTTCCGGAAGGTTTGGACAGACAAAGAAAATTGTCGAACAGTGGGTGAAACCTTCCGGAACGTCTTCATACTCTTTACAAAATAAGGAATCCAGTCTGCAACTTTTTTCGGAATGTTTGAACACACCTTCAGGAAGGTTGACACATCTTTTTTCAAGATAGGATTCCAATAAGCAAAATCTTCCGGAAGGTTGAGGAAACTTTCCGGAAGGTCCATGAAAAATCTCTGAAGGAACTTTTTAGTAAGTAAAACCTTCCAGAAGGTTGAGCAAAACCTTCCGAACGGTTTTCCAAAAATCTAAAATTTTAAGAATGCATTGGCAAGTCTTTAGGGCTATGAGTTCTTGGGTTCCAAGGATTTAAATGGACTATAATGGAGTATGATTAGTGGTACTTTGCATCACGGTTGGGTCAAATGATAAAACGAACACGGATTTTAGGTGTGAGTCGAAATCCTGGTAAAGGGAATGTTAATACGTGGAGTCGAGTTGTGCAACTATCATGGGTATTTTTTGCGGGTTGACGGATGACTAACGGTTGAAAAAAAAAAGACCTCTGGTTTTAGGAGCGTCACACTAGGACCAATAGAATTCTGAAAAAAATTAACTCGCCAATTTTCGTTTAGATTAGATTCTTGTTGAAAAGTTAAAATAATGAACATAACTAACGTCATTTACAATTGCAAAAAATAACGACAATGTCATCACCTAATTTAAACACATATTCTAAAAAAATTGCGTTATCATTATATATATATTTTTTCATAAACACAAATCGTAACACAGGTAAGCTTAAAATAACAGATATGTAATTAATATATATATACTTTCAAGCCAAAAAAATAAAGGTACACAATATAAAAAAAAATAAAAAACAATGGTATGTAATAAAAAAATATAAAAAATAACAGGTGTGCAATAATAATCAAACATGTATACTAAAACACAAATCGTTAGACATGTATACTAAAACACGGATCGTTTTTTTTTTTAAGTTAAAAACACAGATCATTAGACATGTATACTAAAACATAGATAGTTAGACAGTTACACTAAAATATAAATCGTTACTGTATCATCTTCTCCATAAACATAAATCATTAATGTACATTCTTCTCCATAAATACATTTTGTCAGACATGTACACTAAAATATAGATCATCAAACAAGTATACTAAAACACAAATTGTTAATGTACCCTCTTCTCCATAAATATAGATCGTCAGATAGGCACACTAAAACACAAATTGTTCATGTACCTTCTTCTTTATAAACACATGTCATCAAACATGTACACTAAAACACAAAATTGCCAGAAATCATCATAATATCCATATTATTTGATTCACAAGTTTAAATTTCAAACTAATAGACAACCTCAATAATAAACACACACGAACCCCACTAACAGTGTCTCTAATTATAACTCAAATTTTTACTTAAATTTGAGTAAAGAGTTTGGTTTGATATAAATGACTTCAATGGATAAACTCAAATTTAAAGAATGAGAAACTCAAATTTAAATGAAAGTAAACTCAAATTTAAAAGAAAATACATATGATCATTGAATCTTTAAAAGAGGATAAAATTGCACCATTAAAGATTTTGGTAAGGATTTAAGTCTCCCTTAATTTGAGTAAAAAAATGAATCTCCTTTAATTTGATATAAGTTTGAGTACAAAAAATGATTTTCCTTTAATTTGATATAAGTTTGAGTACAAAAAATGATTTTCCTTTAATTTGATATATGTTTGAGTCAAATGTTAGAGTAAATTTTTAAAAAAATTTTATTTAAATTTAAATTTAAAATTAAATTTAAATCAAGATTAGAGATGCTCTAATGGGAAGAGAAACAAATAAGAATGTCATGAGTTATCTTTAACCGCCGACATTACTGATTTATAATATCCAAAAGTAAGACCATTTGCAGCAGTGAATTATTCCTATTGAAAGATAACTTTGATAGTTGCTGCAGCACACTTACTGTTGAAGACCATCCTGATGGTTTAAAAGTAAACTCTATCTAATCATCATCATCCTTTTGGCTTTAAATCTCTAGTGAATACCTATTGAAAGATGTTAAAATACCAAATTAAGCAAAATGTACTGGAGAATTAAGTCATGCATATTATAAAAAAGAGAGCTACAGTAGTGGTAATGATGGAAGCAGAAAGGGTTGCTTCTTTCATTCTTTTTTTTCTTGTGAGAGTGAAAATCGTATTTCAAAATTTATTTTTTG